CTGAGACTTGACGACATTGGATACAGACTCGACATTTGGGATTCAGACATTTTGACGAGGGACTATTTGGGCCTGTGCCGAAGACTTGGTGTTGACGACATTCCCATCTTTYCCTCCTCTTCGTCTCACCSCCCTCATCTTCGTCTGTGTATGTGTGGGGCTGGCGCAGTCTTCCTGTGTGAAGCRCCAGACCCCTTTCACACCCTGGGATGATGATGAYGATGTGTGTTCTGGACTGCATTGCAACATTGATTGATCGGCTCATTGATATCTAAGTCTTCCGTTTGCGCCATCTTGTACTTYGCATTGAGAGGTCGGTTCTTGTTCTGTSTGTACCTTTACGGGATGTAACAGAGTGGCTCTTGAAAGATTGGAAACCCCAGCCTGCAACTCGTGCGTATTCAAGTGTCCTCGGCCGAACCCTTGAGGGACTATTGATTTTCAAGAGTTGTCGGGCCATTATCCTGACGCCATAAAAAAACAAAAAAGCTGTACCACTGTCTTTTTGCAGCCTTTGCCCAGCACTGTCGCCGTTTCAAGAGTGTTGTGTGGCGAGGGGCCAAAAACTCTTGAAAATCCAACTCTTGAAATCGACTGACAGCTCTTGAAACACTTCCCTGTTTTATGAGTGGTGTGGCGAGGCCCTTATTTGTTGTACTGCTGCAACATTGGGTCTCTCTCCACTACTCTCGACTCACGAAAAGTTTCGTGAGTCCTTCTAGAGCTGTCAGACGTGCAAAACTCTCGAAAAAAAAGTCTTGGCTCCACTTACTCTAGAAGGCTTTGCTAGATGCAGTGGCGGAATGAGAGGAGCTCTCTGACCGCACTAAGAGACAGCGCAGCCCTGTTCTGATGGTGGTGCACTCACGAAAAAAAATGGTCGGAGCGGGGTTACGAGGGAGGACACTGGAAAAGCATGTCGTCGCAGGCTGGGCACTCTAGACACTTAGAGAGTGCTTTCTGACAGCTCTCGAGCACCTATCTAGAATGAGTGGAGCGAGGCCTTACTCTCGAGACCCATTCACTACCTGGCGCTAAGTGGTGTGGCCAGGCGCCAAGTGGAGGGAAGGGGGTATTGAGTCCCACTTTCTGGGGGCTCGGCCCACATGCGCTGAGTATTGTGGTTATGGGGACTCTGTGACAGCCGTGAACCGTCCAGTGGCGACGGATCCGAGGGCAGATGTCAAACTCGCAGGTTTCTGTCAAGGTCAGGCCAGTACCTTGAAGTTGTGTCATATTTCCATTTGGCCTTCGGGGACTGGAAGGAAGCGGGTGGGAGGCCGCCGCGCAGCCCAGCCACCCTCAGAAATGCAGGGTGGCTACCTTCTTCCCCCGAATAGAACGTATGGTCATCGTAGCAGACTGAAAGATGCCTCAAATGCAGCTATAATTACCGTACGTTCTATTCGGGGGAAGAAGGTAGCTACACCAAGCAATCCTCTTGGGTCCTAGAAAGTGAAGGAAAACCCCACCCCCTCTCGCTCTTTCGCATCTGTCAGACAAAGGAATAGGAGGAAACGTTGGGCGGTCTGCATTTGAAGTTCGCTCTAGCGACTTGGGCCTCGCCACACCACTCTCGAAATGTGAAAAAGACAAAAACGTGGCAGGTGCATCTGGCCATGTTCCAGCAGAAAGTTCATTCTCATTTTGCACATTTGGGGAGTGGTGTGGCGATGCCCTCTACATGGACATCAGGACAGTCCATGTTCTTATGACTTCACATCCTCCTTTTTTGTTCACATCCTAAGGACTTCGTTTTTTGTTTTCCCGCCACCTGGCGCCGCACAGTCGGAGAAAACTAAACTACTCACAGTGCACCTGGGCGGAGGTCCCGCTAGCAAAGAGGATCGGATCGACTGCCTGAATCTGGACGTACTTTATGTAGAGATGCATAAAAGCAGTTCAATCTCAATTTCCTGCACATTGCCACGACTTCGTCCAGATTCAGTCATTCGATCCGATCCTCTTTGCTAGTGGGACCACGCCCCTCGGGCGAGATCCCTGTCGTAAAAAAGGAAAAAAGGTGGGAATTTCGCGAGTTCTCGGCTCTGACAACTACTCACAGACGGACTCTCCAAAATTTTCCGAGTTTTTCGACAGACAGTAGTGGAGCGAGACCCATGCAGCACTCACCAAAACAGCGGTGCCATGAGCAGTGGAACGAGGAGTGCGACGAGGTCCATCACTCTTTCTCTCTCTCTCTCTCTCTCTCTCTCTCTCTCTCTCTCTCTCTCTCTCAGCCTGGGGTCTCTTCCTCCGCCCTCAGGTTACTCGCTCAGATGGCGCACTCACGTGCGGCATAGAGAATACACTCAGACGAAGGACAACGACGAGAACGCAGGACGTGGAGTGCCTTGTAGGGTTATCACTTCCGATAATTTTATTTTTTTCCTGTTTTTTTTTTTTTTTTTTACATTCTTTCTCCCGATCTTTCCTTCTTGCTTCATTCTTCTTTCACAATCTCTGTTGTATTAAGTATTATAGCTTCGTTTTGATTTTGTTTTCTTTTAAAAGATAGGGTCCTACCCCTTACGAGCCCTCCCCCACCCTTCCTTCCTCTCGTCAATTCTTCCCCGCGCACCATCACCATGTGCCCGGTACGAAAGATTTCTTCTGTCTCTTGTTGGCCATAGCCGCTAGCTGTGAAGAGCAAGTGAACTCACTCTCTCTTTTTTCATTTTTTTCAGTCAGTTTCTCTATTTGTGCGTGTGTAATTCTTACCCCAGGGGCCGTACTAGTTTATCTATCTTCTCTGTATCGCGTTGAACGTTCCCTCGCAATATATTTTTTGGGAGCGTTTTTTTTTTTTAATTATTATTATTATTATGGAAGATAGCAGAATATTTCTTTTTTTCCATTGAGCTGGCGAGGGAGCGTGCTTTTATAAAAATAAATAAATTACTATGCTTCATTGCACTTCATTTATCTGCGATGCTTTTGAATCCGTGAGCGTCGGTACGGTTGTGTGTGGTGTGGATTCTCCGCCTCGCAGTTTGTTTATTTTTAATCATAAACGCGTTCATCAGTTTTGCTCTCACAATTGACCAAGTATCACGTGACCAGATCCAGATCCAGATTCTTCGGTCCTCGCCGTTGATTTTCAGTATCAAAGGTCAGGAGTCGAGAATTTGGGTTAGTCGAACTTGAGCCTAGGTAAACTCTTAAGGTGGCATTATCCACCTATACGCCTCTTCAGTCGGTACGAGTGAGTGAAAAGGAAAATAGCCCGCTCTCAATTCCTCTTTTTTTTTATTTTTTATTCGTTTATTAATTTTTTTTTCCGGCTGTCAATTCTGTTTTGGTCTTGGTCGCAGTTTTGTTCTTTTGATCATGATGAATGCATTTATCAGTTTGTTCTCACAAGCTAAACTTCAATTCGGCATTTTCTGAGGCTTTTCTTCGCTTCGTCAAATTGAATGGGGTACTACTGGGGAGAGCAGATAGAGGGATCAAAGCCGGGTGTCAATTCTCTTTCGACATTGGTCTTCGTTTATTGAAAGTCGGGTTAGCCTGGCTTTTTCGTGCTATATAGATATATATATTTATTTATATTTATTCTTTGTGGATTGACTGTGCGCGTATACATACATACATACATACATACATACATACTTACATACATACATACATATCTATACATACATACACATATATATATATATTAGACATATATATAGTAGACATACATATATTAGGCATATATATATTATACATGTATAGATATATATAAATATATATAGACTTGATGGATGTTCGCACGCAATCAGGGCAAGTTGATGATGTGTCCTGCCTCCTGCACCTCCTGATGTCTTCATTTCACCGATTTGTCGGATCTCTGCGCATTGGAGCGATCGGATGTTTCTACGTACTTCTTCTGATGACGTGGACAAGTGCTAGTGTTCAGGCGGCCACCTCATCGTTCCATGACTCGATACCTCCTCCTCCGCGTCCTCCTCTTAGTCGAGCTGCTGACGTGGCGCCGGGACGCGGCCTCCTCTCAATGCCCTCCAGCAGAAGGCATCTGTTACAGGACGAGACAAAGGCTCTGCCTTCATCTCCATCGTCGGGATCGGCGGCTCCGTCGTCGGCTGCTCCGTCTTTGCCTGCGGCGGCTTCGTCGTCGGCCGCCCCGGCCGCCTCCGACCCGACTCCGCTGCCGTCTAAACTCGTTCCTCGCAATAGGACTTTATTTCCCTCAAGCCGCCTGGTGTGGTCCCACACTGCCGTCCCTCCGTTCCTGCAACCGTCGACCCGCAAGTATTGGTGCCGTCCAGTTGTCTACGACTTAGTCGTTGCTTCGCAGAACACGGCACTTTACGTCGACTTCTGGGAAGTCTGCTACTTGAACGACGAGCTCTCTCATCGGCGCGAGTCATTCTGGAAAGTCGATCTCGGTGAAGTCGGTAACGAAAGCCATCCTCCTGACGGGCTGTTGCTCGGCTACTGGTGGCCTTTCGGCGCGGGAAACGGTTCTGCTGTTGACACCCCATTCATCCAGTACGCTGGCCCAAATGACACCGTTTCGATGGCCGACGTTTGGGCGATGGATGTGACGCGAGCGGGCGATAGTCTTGTGCTCTTGTCCAAACCAACTGGGGAGGACAAGTACTCCAAGATTTTCGCCGTGTCCACAAACAATGGCAGCAGAACTTCTACTTCTACTTCCCTTCCCGTAAGCGGCGCCCGCGGTCTCACGTTCAATCCGAACGGGACGCGTCTGTACGTAGCTCTTGGTGTTGCACCCGTTTCCATCGTAAGCGCTCCTGTGGCGGAGTCCAGAGAGACAGGGATCCCGATSGACGGCGCGGAGTGGACTGACGTGAGGAGATTCCCTCCAGGGGGGGATCCCGATATCAAGACCGTCCGCTTCAGCTCGCAGAGCTTTTCCTCGGACGAGCGCTGCCTCTATTTCCTGGACACCGAGAACCTTCGTGTGTGGGGAGTCGATCCCCTTACCTCYGCTGGTACCGCCGCTAATCCCGTGCTCATCGCGGGATCCGGCTCGAGAGGACTGGGCGATGGGGACGGACTCAACTCCTCCTTCAACAACTTGACGGACATGGCGGTCACTCCCGACGGCTGCAACATCTTCGTCGTTGATTACTGGTACGGTGTGCTTCGCTGGCTGCAGCTGGACTCACCCTGCTCCGCGGCTCGCAGGGTGGTGACACTGGAAACTTTCCCAGGGCTGCTTAGAGTCAGGCTCGGTCAATCCGGCAGCGACTACTACCTGTACATCGGGACGACCGCCGGCTCCGTGACGGAGCTGAAGATCAATGCCTCTCAGCTTCACCCTTGTGCTCCTACGCCGCCATCGCTAGCCGGGATCTCGGCGCCTTCGTCTAACCCGATCCCCGCCCCCACGCCCGATCCGAATGTCCCCTCGCTTCACTCGATCTCCCCCTTATCTGCCTCTTCTCCCACTCCCTCTTTCCGGTCTAGCGAGCCCTCTGCGGCTCCAACAAAGCCGGGGGGAACTCGCAGTCTAGCTTTAATCGTAGCTCTCCCGGTCTCTGTTCTCGCAGTCCTTGGCGCGGCCGCTTGCGCAAGTTTCCTCATGTTATACAGCAAGAGACGGCTCGGCGGGCTTAAAGACGTCCAGGTGACGACCGACTTGAGGACGAACGGCAGCGGCGGGTCCACGATTCCAACGACTGCTTCGTCGTCGKCGGCGGTAGCTGGGGGGAAAGCGGAGGGGCTTCATCCTTCGCAGGTAAAGCAGTTCTCGTTTGCAGCTCTGTCCTATTGCACTCAGAACTTCAGCGACGGCTATCGCATCGGACCCGGTGGGGCGTTTGGTAATGTCTACTGGGGTTCCATGGATGACGGCAAGGCGTTGGCGATCAAGGTCATGACAGGCGATCTGACAGAGGGGAAAAGGAGCATGTTTCTGGCGGAAGTGAACACGCTCAGCAGAGTCCATCACGCCAACCTCATCCGGCTCGTTGGATTCTGCCTTGAGGGCAAACGTTCGATCTTGGTCTATCCCTACTTTCCAGGGGGGAGCTTGTTCGCTCGTCTGCACGAGAGAGAGAAAGCCGTGCCGGGGAAAGCTTCGATYCCGCCGCTGACTCTGGTGGAGCGGATGTGCGTCGCCTTSCAGATCGCTAAGGGCCTAGCCTACCTTCACGAGGGTGCSGACCCGCCAGTCATYCATCGGGACATCAAGAGCAGCAACGTGCTGCTTGGCGATGGCTCCGGGGAGAAGTTGCACGTGGTGGTGGCGGACTTCGGCCTTGCGACTATGGGAGAGAGAGTGTTCGGCACGGAGCTTGAGTCGGTGGTCAAGACCTCGCACATGGCGGGCACGTTCGGGTACATGGCGCCGGAGTACATGATGGGAGGAATTCTGTCGGAGAAGAACGACGTGTACGCTTTCGGCATTATCCTGCTGGAGCTGCTGACGGGCCGGAAGGCCGTGGCAAAGGCACCCTCTGGGGTGGGGTGGGAGACCCTATCGGACTGGGTTAAGCCGTTGCTTAAAAAACTACACGTCGTTGGTGACGAGATGGCGTACCAAATTCTGGACCCTTGCCTGCGTGATCAGGCGGCGGGACTCAGGTTCAGCCGTATGGTTAGCGAAACGCTGCATTTGGCCAGCGAGTGCATACGAGAGGATGATCAAACCCGGCCAACGATGTGCGGATTGGTGGAGAAGATAGGCAATCTCCTCAATGAAGCGCAGATCAACGTCAGGCAAACGAAGCACTGACCGTTTTCATTAATGGCGGGAAAGGTGAGTCATTCTTGACCGGAAGGAGAGAGAGATCTCATCATGAAGCTCATGACTGGCGAAGAAGTCGTCCCAGAACTCGCGATGGCGGATCCCTCTTGTTAGTGGCAGGACGGAGAGGTAATCTGCTCGCATGAAGTGTAGGTCAACGTCAGTCAAACGAAGCGCTGATCACAGTGAGAGAACTCATCATGAAGCTGTTGACTGGTGAAGAATCGATCCTACCGGTATGGTTGGTGGAGCAGATTGGCAATCTGCTCAATCTGCTCAATCTGCTCAATCTGCTCAATGAACTTGAGGCGCAGATCAATGGCTGGCAAAGGGAGCGCTGTTTGCAGTGCGAGAATTCATCATGAAGCTGAGGGACTGGCGAAGAAGTGATCCCATAATGGGTGATAGGGGTAATGGGGGGAAAGCGCACAAGTTTTMAGTCCTTTTTCTGTATACTTTTGGCTTTTAGCTTTTAGCTTTTAGTTTTAGCTCAGTTCAGGGGTCCTGGTCCCACCTACACGAATTYTCAACTCCTTGCCTTGGATTAGCAAGATCAACGGCCAGAAGTGAAGATCATTGAAGAATCAGCGTACGTGGGCCTTGGCCCCACAGGTCTGACTCAGGAAGAGCTGAGGACAAAAGGGGAACTTTTGGACACTGTGGACCCCTCCCTTTTGAACTTGGCCGATGATGCATGTCACCTGTTCATTGGAGAGGTCGACAATTTTTTTTTTCTTTTTGGAAAGGCTGTCTTCTCCGCCTGGGGAACAGCTGTATAATATATATATATTTATTAATATTTTTTATTTATTTATTTTTGAAAAGATATACTCTTCTCTCAATTTCACCTCACACTACGGTACCTACCACTACTCCTAATTGTAGGCATATGGGGAACCCCGTAGCAGCCAGAACCGTGTTCAGGAGAGAACATGGGGGGGCTGCTCCCGACCTGCAGGTGGGCGATATCGGCTAGGGGACAGCCAGTAGCATCAGGGACCATGCCAACAGGACCAATCCCTGTGCCTCCCCTCAGTCTCCCTCCCCTATAACGTAAGCAGACTCTGCTCAATGCAGATCGGGGGATCCAGTGGTTTATCTCTAGGTGGGGGGCGCCAAGCATGCCCAGGAAGGTACATGAGCCCAATGGGTATTGAACCCACGACCTCCTGGTACATGAGCCCAATGGGTATTGAACCCACGACCTCCTGAATGCCACTTGCGAGCCTTACCAACTGAGTTAACCCACGACCTCCTGAATGCCACTTGCGAGCCTTACCAACTGAGTTAACCGACGACCTCCTGAATGCCACTTGCGAGCCTTACCAACTGAGTTAGCCCGCTGGATTATTTTTGTCTCTCACCTCACCATATTTAAACTGGCATTGTGCCATGTCATGGAACATATATTTTTCCCTTTCGCTACCTCCCACTACGCCAAAGGCTATACAGGGGATTTGTAAGGGACGCTGGGCCCGATTCCCAGCTTGTAAAAGAATTAAAACATAAAAAGTAAACTCATAGTTTTAATTAAAAAAAAAAAAACTTTTTTTTTTTTTTTTTTTTTTTTTTTTTTTTTTTTTTTTTTTTTTAATTGTGGTCCGATGCACCACGGATCAGATATTAAACTGATCAGAACAGATACTACACTTGATCTTGCCAAAAGGCCGAGAAAGGTATACTTTTCTTTATTTACAATGCTGGGGACCGGGCT